CAGGATTTTTTCTCGATTTTTGGTTAAAACTTAACTATTATGTTCAAGACGCAGTTACAATGGAGCTTTCAAAAGATTGAACCAAGAAAGCCGCTCAAAGTGCCGGACACACAAATGCTCTTCCCTCCTTCTCTCTATGCTAGAGCTTCATGAAAGTTGTTATTTTTGTAAAACTCAAATCTTGCCCCAAAAATATATTGCTCTGCATCCAGGCCAGAAAACTCTCTCTTAAGAATTTACAAGCCAACTGTGGGGTTTTAAGGAAATTTCAAGTAGAATGGTCATAAGCAAGGATTTTCTAACACAGCCGAAAATGAGGCCTACAAAAGAAAAAAAAAGAATCATAGAGGCTTTTTGAACTTCCTAATAAATATTGTGAACAGTGGAAGGTCTCATTTTTTGGCAGATCACTTTCAAGAACCATCTGAGTCATATCTGTAAGTTGGAGAAAATAATGATGACTAATTTACATTCCTGGAAACTATGCCTCCTGACCTGGCACAGTGAAACCTAGTCCACCAACGTAATGGAAGTTTTCTTACATGGTTTGGCCTCTCTCTCATCAGGTGCCACCTCTAGCAACCAAAGGCACAGGGTTTATTTATTTTTTCCTTTAACTGATGGGATTTATACAGGATAAGTTGCTGGAAAAATGGGAGAATAGAAGTTCTATTCAGAATGGTCACAGAAAACAGGGCTGCCTTTCCCTGCTGGAACACATTCAAGCATGCACTCGTGAAACACAGTCTTCATGCATATCAAAGCAACTCAAAGAAAAGCAGTCATCAGAAAGGAACGCTGATCTGTGTGCTTCTCTACACAGCCACAAGTGGACAGGCTGCAAAAATTGTTCTTATCCAGCAGCTTCCAAAGGTGGAAGATGGACAGAGGACTCTGAGAACATTTCAAGGTTCATTGCTTCCTGCATGCTTCCAGGAAGCAATGACCCTTGGGCAGTTCATTGTTGGGCAGTAAGAAGCCAAACTTATGACCAGGGAACCAACCCCATCCTCATCCCAAACACAACCTGCTGAAGGCCACTCCATATAACTCCCAGCATGTTTCTTGCCAGACACTCCCATACACAAAGCCCCTCCTTCCACCTTGGTCAGGCTTCAACATGTGGTTTTTGAACTGAATGGTACCCCATGGCTACGTTTCCCTATTCCTTGCTTCCATGTTCTAAGACTGCTAGTGCTGAATGTTCCCATAGATGATTTATTAGTCTCTTTAGGAGAGTATGTTTCTGTGAGGATCATGTCATTTGCAAAGCATATGGCAGAAGGGAGCTTTAGTTAAGTGACGGTGATGTAAATTGCATTCAGTTTTGCTTTGGCAAGGACACCAGATGGATGCCTTTATGATGAAGTGGGTTTCCTCCGGCATTTTTTAAATTATCGGTCTCCAACAGGTGTTTCCTTTAAGGCATATCTGTTTTTCATAACACTAGAATGAAGAAAAATGTTGTCTGTGACAGCTTGTATACATATATCACGCTTTTATTATGATAAAAATGTACAGTGATTGATTCACTGTTCTGAGTCATGTTAAAATGTGCTTGGGAGAAGATCATCTTAAATTTGCCAAAAGGGCACTTAATTACCAGACCAAAGACTCTTCATTTATTATGAGGGTGGAGAGGGTAGAGAAGGAGGGGAAGCGGGAAAAGGCTGAAAAAAGTGACCAGAAGGAAAGTAGTAGTAGCAGCTGTAGACTTGAGTGCTGAGGGCAGACAGCAGGGAACCACCTCCTAGAAGGTAACATAGCTATTTCCAAATTGTTCTTAAAGAGTTCCTGAAAGACAGTCACTACCAACTTGATTATTGCATGTAAACATATGTTCTGAGAAATCCTAGGGAGAGTGTCTAGGAAGCGACTCATGGAGAGAAAGAGGTTCTATGAATGAGTAATATCATTCATCAGTTCTCCAAATCTGATGAAAATCAAGACCAGACTCAGGTATTAGGTGTGTTTTTTGGTGAGTCCCATTAACAAGCTTGGTATAAGGCTATCACCAGGGTCCTGTCTGGTACAATTAAGAGAGTCTGTGGGGCTTTTGGAATTTGGTTTTGGAGAAACACCATGAGTTAGAACTCATGACTTATAGATATGTAAATTGCCAAAAGACATGTTAATTTGAATGAACTGGGTAACCGATTTTGGTCAAGCTGACCTTGAAGCTTATATGTTACGTCATCTAGCTAGGCAAATGATTAGAATTTACTAAACCCACTAAGTTTATAGGTAGTTCTTAAGCGCAAGAGGGGATTAAGTATTGCATCAAGACCTTGGCCACTTTTGTAAAGAATTACCCTCTCTGCCTTTCCAAATCTGTTTCTAGCGTCCCATTCCCCCCACCCTGGCTTCTCTGCCTAGGCCCTCTGTCCTATTACTTTAAGTTTGACATGCCAATCTAAGTTGGAATAAATTCTTTTGTCTGAAAAAAAAATATGATTTAAGATAGCTATTTAGAAGCTAACCTGTTTGAGGAAAGCAAAATTGCTTGTCATTATGTTGAGGTCTGAGTTTGGGGGCCAGGTGTTGAATAATAGCTACATTAATTCACAAGGAAACCCCTTAACCCTGAAGCATGAAGGGGAATAGGTTGTATTTCTCCCAAAATGTAGAGTAAAATCTCATGGGACAGCATTGTTATCAGTTACATCTGAGATGAGCAGGACCGAATCTTTAGTGTGACACACAGTAAACTGTATTCCAAAAGGTTTTAGGGGATAATAACAGATACTTTTAAATAAATAAATAAAATAAGTAAGTATGTAAGTAAACAGTAAAAGCTTTGTGGTCAGATAAGTTGTGAAACACTTGATTATCCAAATTTTAAAGGATTTCTATATTGCGGAAATCCTTTTATATTCTACTATCAGAACCAAATTTTAAAGGATTTCTCTATTGCGGAAATCCTTTTATAGTCTACTATCAGAACCTTTTACAGGCCAAAGCGCACTGTGACTATATTAGTCCATTCTCACACTGCTAATAAAAAGATACTTGAGACTGGGTAATTTATAAAGGAAAGAGGTTCAATTGATTCGCAGTTCAGTATGGCTGGGGAGGCCTCAGGAAACTTACAATCAGGACAGAAGAAGAAGCAAACAAGTCCTTCTTCACATGGTAGCAGGAAGGGGAAGTGCAAAGAGAATGCGGGGAAAGCCCCTTATAAAATCATCAGCTCACCTGAGAACTCACTATCACAGGAACAGCATAAGAGTAATCATCCCCGTGATTCAATTACATCCCACTGGGTCCCTCCCATGACACATGAGGATTATGGGAACTACCACTAAAGGTGAGATTTGGGTGGGGACACAGCCAGACCATATCAATGACTCTCAAAGAGGGGCCATTCCTCTCAAACTTTGGTTACTCTAGGACAACTCCAGTTACAAATATAACATGGAACATGTGTCTTGCAAAAAGAATTGGTTTTAGAATGGGATGGACTTATGTCCTGGTAACAGCTATGAAAGCTCAGTGGCTGAGCACATGAAAGGTTTATTTCTTGTTCACATTCCATGTCTAGCACAGACTAAGTAGGCCATGGCACTCAGTTCAAGGTGCCCACTGGAGCAGACAGGTTGCTCATCTCCATAGCAGGCTAGGAGGGGAAAAGGTTTACCTGAGAGCTTCTCACTGCCTGAGCCATCTTTTCTCACATTTTATTGGACAGAGCTAATCACATAGCCCCACTTACCTGTCCCTACACTCAGGAAAGAAAGCAGAACTGAATATGGTGAGGTTGGTAACATCAAGCTCAGTACTCTATTCAAATGCCAGCTTTGCACTTTGTTAGATCTTTGACTTTTATTCATAAAATAAGGAAGGGTAGTCTTTAAAGTCTCTGGCAGAGGCAGAAATGCTCACCAAACATTTCAAGTTACTTCCCGTGTTCCCCACGTCTCTTAAAGTCAGCAGAAGCCACGTGACTAATGAGATGAGAGCAAAAATAAAGCAAGTCACCCCGGGCCGAGACACTTAGAGACCTAGGCTTGGTTTTCTAGTTCTTTATTCTCTCCTGCCTGATGACTGAGGAGGATGCATGTTCCAGATGTTGAGGCCATAAGATGGTACAGCCTCTGTTCCTCAGGTTCTAAATGGCTGTGTGGAGCAGAGACACCTTTTCACCTGGTGAAATATATAGTGTAGGTGAGAAGTAGTAAGCTGTGTTGTGTTAGGCCCTGGGAACACTGAGGTTTCTCCTGCAGTGTAAGCCTAGATTTTCCTGAATTATGTAAGTCTTTCTAACTCTCGATTTTCTGTAATTTGACAAGGGTTTTCTTATTCTCTGACAGTAAATATGCATTCCTTAGGATGAGAGTGGGATTTTTCAAAAGATCATCCAACCCTGTCAAATATTGAATATATTATGAAACAAGTATGTATCTAACTCCAGTGTGGGATGACCACGTGGATGGCATTGCCAAGACTTAGATCAAGATCAGAGCAAGGTCTAGGCAAATGCAGACCAGTGATGAAAGCTTTAAAGAATGCAAAAAGTATTAACTAAATAAGGGTGTTTCAACAGGGACCTATTTGGGAAAATATATGGAAAGGAGAGGGGAGGAAAACAGGCTAAAAAGAGAAATGCCACCCATGATTGAATCTCTCACAGCTATTTAAATTCTATATTAAGGTATCAAAACACTGCTCATGATATCTGTCAATGAATAACAGTATCATATAGCATCAAAATTAAAAGCAGAAATAATTACCTTCAAGGTATGTATAATCTAAGGCCAAAAAAAAAAAAATCTTTATGTGGCTTTTGCCCAAAATGTTTAGTGTGTCTTCAGCTATGATACAATCTGGACTCTTGTGCTCTTCAGACATGAGCCTTTATTCTAGTGTCTTGCAGACCTGATGTCATTCTACTTATGTTATTCTCTTCTTTGAGTTCAAGGTTCTAATAAGTTTCATATCTCGGCTTTGTTGCAGAGGAGCTCTAAATGGCCCCAGACTTACTCTCCATTCTTCCCATTTAGGACCCTTCTACAAGAAGCAGAACAAGATTTTGACCAGCTGGATAGCAGTGGCATGTTTCACTGGTGCAAAACAATCCCTTTGGACAACGTGATTCTGGTAAGTGATCTTGCATCACCATATCTCAAACAAGATAAAGCATTTCTTAGGGTAAATGATGTTCTTATAGCAGTCATTTCTCTTTGTAAACTGTAAATTTGTCAAAAAGAAAAAAAAACATCCCCCAACAGCTATATGAATAATATGCAAAGTAACAGGAGGCATTTGACAAAGCCTATGTGAGTAATATGCTGGAATTTCAAACAATTACATGTCTTCTACTATTTCCTCTCTCCTTTAACAGTTTAGCTGACTCAGTTATTCAGAATAATGTTCTCCTGAAGTTTTGCTGTTTTCCTAGTAAATCTAATTAATTTAAATGCACCAGGGAAATCTACTGTTTACAAGTAATCTGCAGTCTTTTTTTTCTTAAGTAAATAAGCATTTTTCTAATGTATTGGTTTTGAAATTTGGATTTTCTGTGATAGTTTTTTCTTAGAGCTGACTCTACTTAGACTTGACACATTAGCTACAAATATGCCTCCTAAATGTTCCATACAACCAGGGTGAATCTTTGTAGATATTAAAGTCATGTCCTTACCTCTCTCCTTAAGGAGACAAACTAACTCAGCTCATAAAAATGTCTGCAACTAAGATGTAAAACGTCTTGTATCCTTTTTTTTTTTTTTTTTTTTTTTTTTTTTT